AGGTCGTGTACATAATACTCGTTTGCATTTAAATTGGTACGAGGAGTCGATCGTACTTTTACCGAAAACCCAATAATTTTCATCGCCAACTCGAAGGTAATAATTTTAATTGAAACAATTTGTTTCACGCTCGGAAAATTACGGTTCATACAAGCATATAGTCTCCTCAAATTAAATATTTTTCAATCGATATTCATAAAAGCAAAGATTCTCTCTTCCTAAGATGATTGAAAAATTGTTGGAAAGGTAAGACAAAGCTGCAGCAAAATGTGACTTTTTTTTTCCTCCACGAATCGCGGGAAAAGAAAAAAATTCGTACAGCTCTGTCAATGCAAAAAGTCATCAGCGCGTGTGCACTTGCAAATACGAGCAGAGCGAAATGTAAATACCATACGTGGCTCGTATGGGCTCGCTATTGAAAAAAATGGCAAGTGAAAAAAAATCAACGTACGTTCCATTCGAAAGAGATGTTTTTTCCTCTCTTTGACGCATTTAGCCATTTCAGTTTGACTTATACCAAATATTCCGCTCTACGTGTCGAAAACAGGCGAAAACCGGTCCTTCGAGATAATAACGTGCACACGTGCTTCCGCCGATACGAAGAATTATTGTGATAAAGGCGAATCGAGGTAAGCAGTAGGGGGGGGGGGAGATAAGCGCAGGTCGATCGATAGCGCGCTTCCCCCGATTCGCCCGCAGTGACGGTCGAAAAAAACAAAAAAAAACACACGAAGAGTGGAGAAACGAATCTGGCTTGTCAAATCACCTTGGACAGCCAATGCTGCCGGTGACGGGGAGTACGGATGTTTTTATCACTCACGCGTCACTTTCGTCCTTTTTTATTAATCATTGTTGTTGTTGTTGTTGTTTATTGTGGGTTCTCCAATTTACTCTACAACTGAACCTTATTTTGGTATTCATCGCGGCAAGGCAACGGACCCGTGTTCGAGCGTCATTTTTCATCTCGACGAATCGATTACTTCCACCTCCGCGCCGCGACAGAGAAACCTATGATGTCGACCAAATTTAAATCCCAAAGAGCTCGCGCGGGATTGGTTTTTCAATCCACGTCATTACTCGTATACATTTTTCGAAAAATAATATAAGAATTAAAGAGTACCCAAATAGTTCTAGCAAAATCAGACGGTTGGAATGGCACCACCTTTGGAATTATCGGTATATCTTTCGACAGTTGTTCCTCGTGTACCGCGATAAGTCGAAAATATTGACGTTAAAATTTAGCTCCGACACTTGTGATTTCGAACGATTAGCAACTCCGCGATCACCTCGCAAAACTCTCGTTTTCCTATGGTAAAAATCAAAAATCCGCAAAAATCGAAGCAGTAAATTAATCATCGCTCGCAACTATGAAAATCGTCGTCCAAGTGCGCAAAAGACCTTGTGCAAATTTACAAAAAAAAAAAAAAAAAAAAAAAAGGCACTCAACCTGCACACTCTTTCGACGCGGCGTGAAAATTGCCCACTTCACCGCGTGTATACACGCGTATGCGAGGGACGAGCAATTCTATTCGCCTCCGTAACTGCGTGCTCGGCGTTTTCCCGTCGCAAACCACCTTTTCCGATTTCGCATGCATGGAGTGCACAAATTTCCAGAGAGGAAAGAGGAAAAAAAAAAAAAAAAAAAGAAAGAGGCAGTATGGAAAAGCAGGAGCGCATCGCACACGCGTAATACGGCCGGAACTTCTTATTCGCACGAGCTACAAACTTTTTTCCTCCCTCCCCTTCGTTTCCACTTTTACGCCTACGCGACGACCTCCTTGGTTCCCCGTTACGCTCCTTCTCTCCCGCGTTACTATTTTCTTGATCGATCCATCCCCGACAGGTAGAGCTTGTTTTACATCCAGGGGGTCAATGAATCGCCCAACCGGCTGTTTTCCGTGCTTGTTGATGTTGCTAACAGTTTCATTTTTTTTTTATGCATATAAGCATTGTTTTTACTACGGGCTTTCGGCGTTGGGCGTGAATATATTTTTTTTTTTTAAGAGCTAAAATGAGTTTAAAGAAAAAGAAAAAGGGAAAAAAACTGTGATAAATAAGAAGCTCGTTTGAGATAAACCCACAATTAATGGTGACCATCTCGCGGTGGTTACAGACATTAATGTTTTCATGCAAAGCTCCCTTGGCTCCCACTGAGAGTCGCGGTAACGCTAATTCAATTATTTTTGCGCGCATAATGTCAAATAATTACAGTTTTTTTTTAAATAATATCAAGTATGATTAAACAAGCATAAAAAATCCCCATGAAAGATTATTTGTACAAATTTGTACGTCGAGTTTGAACCAACTAAAGCGATGAGGGAATTAACTCTACATTTTTAATACAATTTTTCTCTCATCTCGAAATAGATTGGTTGGTGACCGGGTACATTAAAATTCGATACTTTTATTGACGAATGTGACTAAAATGGTTTAATTGAAAACATTTTTTCGTTATTTTTGGCACTGTCAATAAATGTTTGTATTTATTTCAACCCTCGTTTCAACCCATCAGTCAAAAGTGCTGCTACCTTCCGTTTTTATAGTGCTTTTAATAACTACTTCTTTCTCATATACTTTTTTTGTCAACGAAAATATGTTTTGTATCGCTGGATACGAAAAGTCAATGATGCGTTAAGACATTTTGTAATGTAGTCTCGTTATACTTGATGAAAAGGTTTGAAAATGGTATAATCCAAAACAAAACTCGTATTTTTGTACTCGCATCATTCCTCGCGCGTCATCCTTCTGTGTACAACGTCAAATTACCGAAGGTTAAAAGAGCACCTGTGTCAAGCGGTTGCGAGAACACGAACATTTATACAACTATAGCGAATTTTGGGCTTTTACGAGCGTAGTTAGTCTCTGATGTTTACTTAAAAGTAATGTCGAAATTGTCAGACACTAACAAGGTAAGACGTTATTTTCATAGAAAAAAATAAAAAATGAAATATCGTCCTATCAATGGTTCAAAGCAAACCTCAAAATTCGAGAAAAAAAAGAAACGATAACCGCATACCGATGCATCGACTACTCGAAGGAAGCGTTGCTGTCCCGCGTAAGTGCAGCTATCCAATTAAAAAAGCCAGATACAAAGTCCACTTCGCGGCAATCCTCGTCCCCTCCGGCGCGTCGGAACTCCAAACGTCAACTGTTGCAGCTCAAGGAGCTCATTGCCCGTCCGATGCACGCTCCTCGCCTACACATAGGTAGTACACACCCAACCCCCGTGTGAGATGCTCGCCCCGCGTGTGGCTGACTTTCTCAGGCGGAGCTTTCAACGCGCAAGAGATCTCTCTCGTCCATCGTTCGTTATACGAGTATATTCATGCAAAGCGCGGAAAAACCCCGGAGCGCCGGTCTATACGCGAAAAGCGGCCCGCGCTCGTCATTGGATCTCCTTCGGCTCCCAAAGTCAAAGTTAATTCGGGCGAGTCAACTTCAGCGTCGGTGGATGAAAAAAGAAGGGGAGGGGTAATCGTGCCCTCGCAATTATAAGGATTCCTGTGTATACGTGACATCGATCTTTGGTTTTGTGCGTGAGAAAAAAAAAAAAAAAAACAAAAACCAAGTTGCGTAGTTGACGAAGCGTGAAAGCGCAAGTGTGAAAATGTTAGATGACTGTTCGTCTGTACGTTTTTAAATGTTTAGTTGGTCGATCACTTCCAAGAGATCCATTAAACCTAAGGCTCGTGTGTTTAATCGTCATGGCTTTGGAATAGCCTTCTCTGAAATGATCCACAACTTTTTTGGCGGGCAGAGCAAAAAATACGGGGGGCACGTATAGAGACGCCAATTACACACAGCTATATTTATTTATAAGTATATTACTTTTACAACTTTTAATCCCTACGCGAAATCGTGTGAAAGCACCTATATTATACGCATGCATTTACACCCTCGAAACTTTCGACTCGAATCATGCATGCCACATTTATACTTGACTTTGCTGCGAAAATTTCCATACTTCGAACTCTAGAGGTTTTCGTACGAATACGAGTTTTCTCTTCCGCATAGGTATAGCTTCGCTATATTTTCATCAAACTTGCATCCGTACAAGGATATAGTCACAGCAACATTTGTGTGGGTATTGAACGGGAAAGGCTTTTCTCTGTCATTTACAAGAGAGGGAGCGAGGGACTGGAGCGAAGCGAAAATGAGAGACCCATCCGCCGGTTAAAAAAAAAAATAAATTAAAGCGCGCGTGTTCGCGTCAAAGGGAGAGTTAGCGGACGCAAGTGACGCTGTTTTATGCTACGGGCTCCGATGAGCGTCCCTTTTACCATTTAGGTGGGTGGGCTTTTTTTTTTTTTTTTTGAAAAAATTGGGCCAACCAGGGAAATTTTTTATTTTTTCACGAACATTTTCAGAGTATGGAGTTGAAGTAAGACATCCGATGCATTATTGTCGAACAGAGTCGGGACGGAGGCACGACCGTGAAATCCCCAAAGTGTTTCGGTTCGATGAATAAGATATACGCGCACGGAAGCTCGGACTTTGAAAGGAGGGGTTTTTGCCAAGACCGGCAGCCGCAGCCAATAAATTCCGGTGCGGCTGCACCGTTAAAAATTAACGCGTAAACACGAAACCCCCCCGGGGGTTGGCTCGCGAATTTCTTTAAATCTCGTAAAATATACGAAATAAAACGGGAGAGTAAAAATTTACCTAAAAATTATTTCACAAGTGCTCGATCCCCCCTCTCTCTCTCTCTCTCTCTCGCTCTGCCATCCCCGATAAATGTATATAAATGTAGGTACAACAAGCAACATTAAACTCACTTGCACAGCTTCTTGTTCTTACTCCGGGTGGTAGAGCTGATCAGTCGGCAGATGAAAAAAAACAAGTGTTTCGCGCACCACTGGGTATATATGTATTGTGGACAGTGCACTCGCGAGTTCACCGCATTGGTGTAGTCACCATCATATTTTTTCTTTATTTTCTTCTTTTTTTTTTTTTTTTTTCAAGATTTTTCAAAGCTTTTTTTCATCTAGTTAACGCATTTATTTTTTTTTTTTGTATGTAAGTACACCACAATACGCGCACTTCTTTAGCTTGAGAGCACTCGGTTCGAGCACGTCCTTGAGAGAATCATCGAGTCTGCTCGTAACAGCATCTGTGTCTTCTTTGTGTCGTCAAAAGGGCGCCCATGCGTGGAGAAATCGATTAGTCTCGCGGGTAGATTTTCGTGCTGGAATAACGTGTGTATACAAACGTGTTATTGATTCGCGTTGGATGACATGGGTTTAAAAAATGATTGGGTTGGGGTTTTTTTTTTTTTTTTTTTTTCACGCGATAACGAAAAAAAAAAGAAAAGAACACAAATAAAGTGCCACTTGACGCAATTAACTGAATTGACGAACGGGTTTGGACGGTGATAAGTATGATAATTAGGTCGTCTATGCGCGCACAAAAGGAAGCGGCGTTGTATACTTTCTCTTGGGTGAGTACGCGAGTCTTTTGATCGACTTCTTTTTTCTTTTTTTTTTTTTTTTACTTTTATCGACGGAAACTAAAGGACAAGTTGTATTACACGTCGTTCGATGTGTTTTTCAAGATGACTCGATTGGTCCGATTTTTGTCGCGTTTGTTAATTCTGTACCTTGTAATAATATATACTTATGTGCGCGTGAATAACAAAACGACATGAAAATTAAATTATTATCTTGTGAGTATTTGATAATCTGTTAAAATTGTATACAGCAGATCCAAATTTTCCAAAAAAATTGACAACTTGTTGCGTAAAAATTTTTCAACCCAAAAGCTTCGACTATCGTGTACAATTCATTTAGCGAACGCATGCAAATTTTAGTGAAGGCGCATTTACATATAGGTACACGAAACATTCGTGTAAATAGTAATTAGCGAAAGAAAAAAAAAAAAAAAAAAAAACAGACAAGTTAATAACATGGCACGGCCCGCAGTTCCTCGATGCCACGTTTCAAACAGTTGAAAATTTTCCTACAATTTAAATAACGTTAGCTCATTTGCGTAATGAAGTCTATTGATCGCTTCCGAGCCGATGCGTCCCTTCGTTAACGCCCGATTGAACATTTTATTTTTAAGAAGCCATGGGGACCAATTTACCCTCGACAGCAAATTTATGTATTTTTTCTTTATTATAATTTTTTTTTTTTTTTTTTTTTCCAATAATCACACAAAAAATGTAATTTACTCGAGAAAGCCCACAAATATTTCACGAAAGGACACTTTTATCTCGAGTTTCTTGGCACTCTCGATTGGAAAAAAAAGTAATTCAAGCAAAGTTGGATGAAAAATAAATAAGATTAATCTATAAACGCAAACATAAAAATATTCGTCATTCACCCGCATTCTTCGGAATACCCCGAATGAAACAAAATAAAATCAACGAGTCACCATTATGAATTAAAAATAAAATGGAATAACGTGCTCGAGTTAAAAAAAAGACACACACGTACCCTACACGAGTTCGCAAGATCACAAGAAAAAGCGCGCGCTTCTCGCAAAACTTCCGCACAGCGACGAGCCCGTGAAATCGCGAAAAAAAAATAAACAAACACAATAGTAAGTGTACCTACGTACTTGTATGAATGTACACAACAGCTCCTTTCCCGTAAGATCCAAAAGCCTCGTCGAGCCGCACACAATAAAACGTCACACCGCACCAAGTAAGTATAAGTACCGAAAACAACAACCGATGCCGCGAAGCTCTGGATGGAAATAGGACGGAAAAAACAAAAAGAAAAAGCGAGGCGAGAAGATATAGGTAAAAAGGAGGAAAGCAAGTACCACAAAGAAGGAAGAAATCGCGAGCTACAGAGGGAACAAGTAGGTATTACAAGAAAGAACCAAACTGCCGGAAGGCCGGAGAGTGGCGGTCGGCGCGGGTTGCACGGGCGCGCAACAACCGCATGGTAGACAGCGTCGCGTCGCACTGCCGCGTCTGCTGCTGCGCGCCCCCCGCACACACGCCATCCACGCCAAAAGCCCATGTGTGTATAGGTATAATAGCTGGACGAACGGACAGAGTTCCCTGGTTCCCTCTCTGACTCTATTTATGTACACCGCGCCTCCATATACAACAATATATACTTTGTGCACGTAAGTATATATATATATATATATATATAGGTGATTCCTCTTACCTTTTCTTATTTTTCTCCGTACTCTTTTCTCTGTTAATTAGGATTGCATCCGTATACCCGCGCCGGTAGTTTGCTCCTCTTTTGCTCCGAGGGTGGCCATACTTACTTCTCCCCCTCCTCGCGGGCCCTTGTATTTCGAGTGTAACTCGCGTACTCGTACGAACGGCCAGTGATTGCGAAAGTCATTCTCATGAAAAATTTAAGCACATGTGTATGTGGGTATACCTGCTACCAGCGAATTACAATTTGTCTCGTTTGGGTTGGTATTATTTAGCGGGACTTGTGCGCGCTTGTGCGTTTTTGGCCACTTCTTCCTGCAGGGAAGCGTTAACAACGAGGACGTCAAAATGTTTATGGGTTTTTTTCACAATTAATCCCATATGTACGTAATTAATGATTCAGCTCTCGCGTATAATATTACGTTGGACGAAAATTCAGTTGGCCCGGACAAACTTTGCGACGGCAAATTCCAAAGCTATGCACTTTAGTAAATGCATGTACCTTCCTATACATACACGCTGTACGTGCAAAACATGCGTATTATTTAGGCACTCATATAATATGCATTGCTTTTAAGCTGTTTGTGTAATCGAAAACGGAACATATTGGCCAAAGATGCATGGGTTTTTAATTTAAAAATATTGATTTGTAAAAAAATACAGATTTCGAGGCCGGGAAGAAGCACATAAGTATAAACGTAACTTTGAAGAAATTTATGGAGCTACGTCGCCAACGTGAAATTACAAGGAGCAAAGCGAATCGAGTTTCGAACCAACGCTCACTGCGTTATCGGCTGTCATCCGCCGAATCGAATTCTAGATCTTTTGGGGGTGTCTTAACGGACCGCACCCTACACCCGTGTGCTGGCTGTTGTTTTCTTCTCCACTCTTGCTATCTTTGTCTCTCCGACTCGAAAATGCCAGTTACCGGCGCATCATCAATTACCTTCACTGTGTGATCCCTCCTCACTTCTATTACTGCGTCCGAGAGCTCTTTCAACTATATATGCGTGTACCATTCGTTTATCTCGATTTAACTTATAATTATTTCCATCATCCAAAGGTATGGATATTATTCTTTGTGGCTGTACGGTAAAACAAAAAAAAAGTACAATATCTTCTCTAGATACAGAGATAACTTTGTCTTGGCAGATGCATTGCGCTGCACAAATTGCTTTTCCCGGCACATCTTACTTCGGTTAAGCCGGACCCAATGCGATTTCTCGGTCTAGCGAAACGCTCTCCAACTCTTTCATTGTATGTGTGCAACCTGTTATAAGTAGAGCGTAACAAAGTTGTTTGTTAAACATGTCACTGGCGTTTTTTTACGAGTAACTTTTTAAACGTGTGTTTACGATCTGTGGACTTGCAAATTTCATAAATTCCCGTCCAATATTTTTTGATCACCGTTATTTCTTAGGGAAAATTGTTCACATTTCATTGAACATTTTTTATCTCATCTATGGTACTATATTTATGAACCGAGTTTTAATATTTTTCTTGCATTGTCTTATACTTCAGTAGAGTTAACAAAACATCACGAGTTACTTCATATATAATAGTTTTTTAATAAAATATCACGTCACCATATATTTTTTATATAATGTTATCCATTGTCGTAATTCATCAATCGTTAGAAAATTTTTACAAAACTAAATTCATTTAAGTTGAATACGACTAATATTATGTTGTTTTAAGAGTCAGTAAATTTTCTGTCCATGAGTTTTATCGAACGAATGTGCTCTTTGATACACTTGTGATCGAGAAAACTCTCTTGTCAGTCACTACTAACTAATATTTGCGAAAAAATCACTTTGTACGGAAAATAATAGATATGGCGAGTAAAATTCAAATATCTTTTGCTGTTATTCTCCAAACGGTAAAAAAATTTTTGCAAATTCTTAACGAAATTTTTCTTTTTTTCTAAAAGTGATAGTGATATGAAGAAAAATTAATGCTACCTAATGCTGAAAAATATCCTTAACGTCGGTACACTAAAAAATTTCTTTTCGTTTATTCATTGGAACTATAAAACATATGTTTGTATTTTTTTTAACTCAAAAGTCGAAAGTGTTGCGAATTTTCGTTTTCAACATTTTATTACATTTCTTTTGATTCCAACTATTTATGCACAAATAACTGCTTCTTACTCATTTTTCTGTCAACGAAAATATGCTTTGCTCCGCTCGATACGAAAAATCAATGATTCGTCAAGTCTCGTCATACTTCAAAAAAAGGTTAAAGATGATATAATCCAAAATAAAACTCTTACCTATTTTTGTACTCACGTCTTTTTTTCGCGCGTCATTCTTCTATGTAACGTCAAATTATCAAAAATTAAAAAAGCACCTGTGTCAAGTGATGGTGAGATCACGTACCTATCAACTGTAGAAAATATTAGGCTTTTACGCGCATACATCAGAAGAGTCCCATGTTTACTTTAACCTAATGTCAAAAATTTCAGACATTACCAAGATAAGACAAGACCACAACAATATTCCCATATTTATGCTTTCTGTATTTAAAAAAAAAATAAAGTATCGCCACGTATGTTTATTAATTGTCCTAATGCCATGAAGCCCTTACTTGACATAGGGGACCAAAACTAATAAACAAATTAGCCTTCTTCGTGGTGAGTCATTTTTAAAAAATAAATTTTTTACTTATGTAATTTTTGGTACTTTAAGTGTTTTATTTTATGAACAAATAATGTAATAGCTAAAAAAAAAAAAAAGTTACGATGATACATACTTAATAAAAATAAATTATCAATTTCAATGCGCTACGCACCAAATTGCTACCGAAAAAACCCATAAAACAGCCCCCAGCTATGCTAAAATCTATTTATTAAAGGAGGAAAATTTTCAATTGTTGGATGTTTATTTGTGCTGTGTTAGTAATACCTACTAGTATTTTAAGTTAGCTTTAACAGTTAATAGTGTATGAAAATTGTTTGATAGATTAAAAATAAATTAGTTCCATCATAAGATTTTCATTGACTAAGATCTCAAGCTTATCTGTACAAAAAAAATTTTTTTTAACGAAACTGGCCTATTTACAACACATCAAGTCAAAGGGACTTGACAATTCAATCGACTTCATTTTCGATACTTATCTTTTTATATAAATAAATAAACATTACACTATTTAGCATAGCACTTCTTTTAAATCATTATACTAATGAGTGCATATTTAAAAAATATATTACTCAAATTGACTTTTGAAAAATGATATACTTTAATCAACATAAAAATTTATTCCAAAAAAAAAATGTTTTTTTTCTCTTATATAAATCAATTGTAATACTTATGCATTATGGGAAATCTTGAAAAATATTAATCAATTTGGCAAAAAAAGTACTAGAAAATTGTAATAGATTTTTTGACTACATGTACATTAAAATTTTTTTTGTTTTAATCTAAATTAGACATTATTATGTCGATATTGCTTATAACACAAATGATCTTTGCCGAAGTAGCTTTAATCATTACGTGTTGACTTTTCCACCCAAACTGCTAATTACTCAATAGATACCTATCATTTGTGTCCAAAAAAATTTTTACGTGCATCCATTCCAAATTTTCAATTAGTGAATCAAATGAACTGTGTTAGTACAACATCCAATAAGGGACAATATTAAAATTTTTATGCTCTATTTTGCATTCATAATTACGAAATTTTATTGAAAACTATTTCATGATAATTAACATGCAATGTAAAAACTAAGTTTGATAGAGGATTATATTCCAATGAAATATAACAAAAATAAAAGATTAATGTTTTTTATTCAAACGAACTTATACATAGGATTCTGGGAACTCAAAAGTGACATCACGACCAGTCAACTTTTTGTATACACTGGCAAACGTGTCAACCTGAAATGTATTTAAATTACATTAATAAATATGCATTAGAAAAAAATGAAAAATTCATTTAATGGAGAGAAAGTCTACCTTGTGTTCGATGTTGGTCTGCTCATTTTTGTCCAAGTGAACCTTGATGAGCTGTGAGCCATCAAGTTTCACCCTGATCCTTTTACCTACAATTTCGACTGGGTAAACGAGATCTTCCAGTAACGCATCGTATACTGAAGTAAGGGTGCGGCTAGATAATGAAATTATCATTAATTGAAAATGTAAGAGATAAAATAATTTGATACTGCAAATACATGATAAAACTCAAAACTACCTTCTTGGTCTCTTTTGCTTGTTCTTGGTTCTGGTTTTTCTTGTGGGCTTAGGCAAGATTTTCCTCTCACCAACAAACATAACGTGCTTTCCAGAAAATTTCTTTTCCAATTCACGAACTAATCTTGTTTGGACCTTTTGGAAAGCTTTCAGCTTAGGCATGGGCACATAGATAATGATTGACTGTAATGAAATAAACAAGTATTTAGTTAATAAGTAAGAATTGACATGTTTAAAAAAAACTTGAGAAATAGTATAAGTGATAATTCCAAGTAGAATAGTAGACCACAGGTAAAATTAATTGGATTGTTAATGTATTTTAAAATCACATTCTCATATTATGCATTGAGAAAAAATTCTAAGCGGATGAAGCATAACACAGATTAGTGACAGCAAATATTATATGTGACAGATATTAAATGAAAATTTACAAAAATTATGTTAAAGTAAGAGAAGAATGAAGTAAATTGATAGTTAAACACAGCAAAACCATAAAAAGTAGAAATTTCCGTCAAAGTTATATGCAACATATTTAAATCTTTTTTATGACCAATACAGAAAAGCACAATTTCAAAAGCACTTAAACATAACAGTGAGAATATAGAGTGCTGCAAAGTGAACGATAAAAATTTTGATTGAAAAATAAGAGGCTTACCTTTTTGTTGTTGGTTTCAATCTCACGTGCTTTAGTTATGTACAGCTCTCTCAGGTTAGACTTAAGATCACTGTTGGTTTCAAGTTCAAGCAGAGCTTGAGCAATGCTTGACTCGAAGGTACTGGGCTCAGCACCACCACTTTTGATGATCTTTGCCATCGACATCTAGAATGGACACAAGTAGGGATGATTAATAACTTATGAATCCACTAACAAGAAAATAATCAAAGCCTAGAATTGTGTCATCAATGCAGGACCCCAGACTCTCGACACAAAAATCTGATTTAATCATTTATCACTTGTACCTAACGAACAAAACTTTCAACTCAAAAATCCAAACAAAACAATCTTTGGACAAATAAATTTTAAAAATACGAAAATTAGAAGAATACACGACAAAAGGTTAAGACGTTGTTTACATCGAGCCTAGCCTGGACCAATAACATCAAAAATTCTTTAAAACCACGAAATCCGTAGTTCAAAAAAACAAAAATTTTTTTTCAACTTAATAGATCACTTGAGTAATTATTGTAAAATAGCCGAAAGTCAATGACAAACTATAACTTTACTAACAACCGATCAACGAAACGGACGACAGTACACGCGAACCACGTCGGTTTCCTCGCGAAATCCACGGACATCGACGCGGTAAATCAACATCAGCAAGATACTCAATCCAGGAGGGCTCGATTTGATTTCGAAGAACAGTTCCTTGACTCTCATTTCGGGATCCTGCATTAATTTTCACTGAATATTCACTATTTCTCGAATACACACCTTGACTCGGGCGGAGCTTACCGCAAAAGAAGACCTACACGCACTGAAAGAATGACGACGACGCGTACTGCTCCCGAAGAGGTTAGGTTTTCACTATTTTTTTTGATAATCGCGCCACCTTTAGCACACTTCAAACTTTTAATTTTTTCCATTTTTGGAGCAGCGTTTAATATACTTCAGTCCTTTTTCAGTTTTTTCAAAGATTGTATATTTAATGAATATTTCAATAATTTTAAAGGAAAAAAAGTAAATCAACTAAATTTTACGAAATATTTATCAGTAAAAATGAAATTTATTATTTCGTAACTTAAAAAATACTTTGGACAGTTTTACTAATTTCTTCAAGTACAAATATTAATAGAGTATTTTGAGGTAAAAAAATTGATGCATCTATTAAGTATAATCATCACACGAAAACTAAACATTTCTAATAAAAATGAGGTGAAAATCCGCACAAATAGCTACTCATTTTGGGTTATTTAAACAACAAACGTGATATTTCATTAACAAACTAATCACGAAATAGATTTTTGTTTATCAAGTAAAATTTTACAATAATAGTTATAGACATGTTATTTTGGCGCCTGAACGATCATTCAAACATTTGCAAATAACCCGAATGTTAGTCACAGTTACAGTACAATTGAGATTAAGCTCAAAAACAAGTAACAAGATAATCATTTAGTAACAAAATCACAAACAGAGCCATTTGTTAAGTATTTAGCTTGGTTGAGCTCTCTGTTTGCTGGCCCCTGGAGTGCAAACCCAAGTAAGCCAGCCGATGCCAACGTAGGTCTTCTTGGTCTGGTGTTTGCGGTGCTGTGACACATTCTAAGCTTAACTGAAGGGCTTTTCTCAGATCATCGTCTTCATCGTCTTCTCCTATTGCTACTGATGCTGTTGGCGCAGCTGAACAGTTGCTCGTAGAAGCCAAGGAATCGTCCAACCTCAGCTGATCTTTTTTTTGCTGTTCTGCCTCGTAATTTTCCAAGCTCAATGCAAGAGCCCTCTGTAGCTGAGCGTTTTCTTCGTCATCATCCTCGATCGTGTGAACTTCTTCGCGGCCTTCGATCTGGATAGGAATTATTCTTTCTCGCGGTTGTCTTCGTATCTCGGAAATTATTTCTACTTCTGACTGTCTGTTGATTCGCGAAGTTGTAGGAACCTTGACGCTCTCCATAGCTTTCGCCGCTTCTAAAATTTTCACTTCGTCCTCTGCCTTGGTGCCTAGTCTGTAACCCTTCGAAGGGAACTTTGATTGTTCAGTCACTGGTTTTTGTCTTGTTTGCTCTACAGGATTCTTCAAGAGAATCTCATCAGCTTCACAAGGGGGAAAATTACCTATTACGATGAAAATTGAGTATCCTAGAATAGACAATAATATAATGTACTATCCCACTTTATTACAATGTATACACTTTCATAAAAAATTATCCTCATGACTTACCTTCCTGAATGAGCTGTGTTAAAAACAATGCAAGATATGTATCGGATATGAGGTGTGGGCCACTGAGCGTAGAGTTTAAATTGAACCACTGTTTTCCAAGTTTTCTTATTGTGAACCAATGACCCTTGTAATTACAAATATAAGCTTTCATCTCTCTGAAAAGGGAAAAAAATAAATGAGATAAACTAATTGCGATTGATGAATAGTTCCTTGACAAAATAGCAGTCTTTTATTTTTTTGATTAAAAGAACCGTACTATTTATAATCAAGTGTGCCAGAATTTCAAACCTACGATGGATCGTTTTGTGCTATCAATGCTGCTGGCTCGGTGCTGGTGTAAGGTATTAATTCTAAGTTCCAAACCTTCAAAGCACTGCTGATGACTTGTACTGAAAAATATCCACTATCGTCCATATTACCTGATGGTTGCTAAAACATAAAACCTTCTGTGATTATTCTTTCAAATAGATTGCTAACTTACTTAAATTTGGACATTGAACGAGTTATAATAATAATAAATATGATTTGGAAAAGAAAAACAAACAAACAAATATACCTCTATAAATCGTTTGTAATCATCTGTGTCCTCTCCACTCTCAGCCATAGCACGTCTCTCCTCTATGTCTAGCTGTTCAGCAAGATTGGCCAGATCAACTGCATTGAAATACTGCCCCTGGAGCAAAGCATTGAGGCAGTGCTGGGCACAGAGGTAGCCTTCTTGCTGCAACAAGTACATAAAGAAAATCCAGCAAATCAAATAAGATTATAGATATTATTATTCATTAACAGGTTAAAAACAAAACAAAACACCCCACCACACCACCACTTATGAATTACTCAAAACTGAGTATGGTCAAGGCAACTTAAAGATGTTATATATAGCCATGAGTAGGCCTGCACACACGGATGTTTACATGAACGCTAAACAACGGAAAAACGCTTTTTCCGCGGCCATTACGACATTGGTGATCAGACCGTGGTGCTTGGGTTAATAATATAACATTATTTTGCATACCTTTTCGTGAAATATGCTCTCCATGACGTGACAGCTACGACGACGAATCTGCTGCAGCTTTTTTAATAACACCTAACGCTGTTCTATACTCCACACACGCACACTCACGAAAATACCAAAATCAACTCTGGAGGAGATTCGAAGTCAAAAAGAATTGAAAGTCCCGTCGATAAAATATACTTATTTGTTGACAGCAAACCGCGAATGCCACTGACTGGTACCGTCTGACCTGCTGGCACTTGGCTTGCTAGTGGGTTGGGTTGTAGGTACCTGTCGGTAGTAACGCAATAATATATAATATTGTGTACCCTCTCTCTCTCTCTTTCGCGCTTACGCGGCCGTTATATTTTACGTGTTTTCACCTCATGCGAGTGAACAAAACAAAACAAATCGGCCGTTATATTTTACGTGTTTTCACCTCATGCGAGTGAACAAAACAAAACAAATTTAATCATCAGAGCGGGAAGTGAATCAGACGCGTAATTTTATACATTACTATAAATATATTTTAATACCCAATACTGTGTAACATACTATTAATAAGTATGGCCAGGAGGCGGAATTTATATATTACAGATGCAGTGGACAGAGAGACAGCAAATGCATGCACGACAACTATAAACATCTGCAGATCGAGGAAACTCGCGGATTACGCTACTGGTGAATTGTAATCGTGATATGTTAATATATACCTTATTACCCCGGTCGGTAGTCAAGTGTGCAAATTTTTCAGATGAGTCGTGTTTTGTTTTGGAGAGGGTACCTACAGCAATGCCAATTTTACAAACCGAACGGATTTTGCTTAAAATTAATCGTCACCTCTCCGATTCGGCTGAAAATTTTTTTCCAGTTTCTATATTGAAAAATAAGAGATACGTGTCCGAGGAATTTTTTTTATCGCCTATTTTCGATTTTATAAGTTATGACAAATTTCATAATGGTGGTTGGAGACTCATTTTAAACAATGTACTTATAGCTTCGAACTCTTAATTAAGAGCTACAAAATTTTCACCAATGGCACTTTTGTAGTTAAAGAGTTGAACTTTAAGAAAGAAAATTGAAAAAAAAAAAATTTATCAACAAATTAATATATTGTCATTAACAATTTAATTGTTTTAATCGATTTTTAACAATTGCCCCCAAAATGAATCGAGTTTTTATTATTAGCATCGTATTCTGCGTCAAATTTTACGTAAAAATCATGTTTTTAAAATATGGAGACTTTTCAATTGTTATTGTTAAAATATTATTTTATGTAGCGCGTAAAGGTAAAAAAACTGTTTTTTGAGTATAAAATGATATCTGTACCTCGTATCAAAAAAAAATTGAATGTAAAAGTTGTAGATAATTTAAAGATCTACAACTTTTGTATTTACCATTTGTCAGTATAACCTTAAAATTTTGTATTATCATGCAAAAAAGAGAGAAATCATTTTGAGGGCAATTGTTAAAAATCGATTAAAACAATTAAACTGTTACTAACAATATTAATTTGTTGATAATTTTTTTTTTTTCATTTTTTTTTCTCAAAGTTCAACTCTTTAACTACAAAAGTGCCATTGGTGAAAATTTTGTAGCTCTTAATTAAGAATTCGAAGCTATAAGTACATTGTTTAAAATGAGTCTCCAACCACCATTATGAAATTTGTTATAACTTATAAAATCGAAAATAAGTGATGAAAAAAATATTCCTCGGACACGTATCTCTTATTTTTAAATATAGAAACTGGAAAAAAATTTTCAGCCGAATCAGAGAAGTGAAGGTCAAAATCCGTTCGATTTGTAAAAGAATTACCCATTTATAGAAAATGAGAAAAAATGTAAACGACCGCAACAAATGTAACTTTATGTAACATAAATAAGTTACCCCTGGAAGAAATGGTCCCTAAAAATTTAAGTAAACGGGTATGGACGAAAATAAGAACTGAAATTTTTGTTTTAAAAATCTCAATTCTCAATGATTATTCACATTACTCGATCAGTTGGCAACAAATCTTACTATCATTTTGTTGCTCCCTTTGAACTTGTCATTGAAGCATTGAAATAAAGAAAGAACCACAGGTATTAAAAACACGGAAGTAACTCCGTTATCGGACAAAGGGTCATTTAAACAGGACGCCTTTTGTCATCATATATATACATGTGGTGTATGGTGTGTGCGCAGGAACAGCTGTTTTTCGGAGTCGCGGACAAGGGAGAGAGTTGAGAAACAAAATATTTATTAAATTCAACGAACTTTATGTATATAAGATTTGTTGCTCTATTCGTATACGAATGAACGAATCAATATACGATTATTCTCGATGGAAGTTATAGGTTGCCTACGGAGAACTGTGTACGTATATGTGTAAAGTGAAAGAGATTCGAGGAATGTGTCCTGTCGCCCGTTGGTCGCAACTCTATATACGCAGCAGCAGAGGGTGAACAAAATCACAACATAGAACCATCGACGCCGAGAACAAATTGCAGGCGTCGGAGCTGCTGCTTGGCAATATTTGTTCATTGTCGAAGTGGCTCCTCGGCAACTTGAGCTGGCTCATTCTCGGCGCTTTCCGCACGTAAGTTAACAACATTTTTTTTTCCAATGCTAATACTCTAGACGAATAGAGCAATAAGTTGTACTATACTGACCCACCGTTGTTGTATCTGCCTTCTTTCTCATCTTTGCAACAACTTCTGTAATTACTTGCTGTAGGTATATATAGTACGATACGGTACGGATACGCCATCACCATCTCCGTGGCATTTGCTTTTATTTATTGCTAACTTGCTCTATAGGTTGGTCCCTTCAGTTCCATTTTTTTTTCTTTTCTTTGTTATCATGAAAGTGGCACACGCTCATTGTTTGCCATTGAAGGTCTTGATCTGTCCGCTCGTTGTTTTGGAGTACTTATCATTGAGTTTGGCTTGCCTCATTTGTCATTCAGGTGTAACTATATACATTTATTGCTTGTACTCAAACAAGTGTTGGTAGTTTTGTAAATAACTAAAGGAATGTCAACTCAAAATTAATCTGTTCATCCGTGTAACAAGACCTTGATTACTTTACTTTGTTCTGATTCTGCTTTGTTTTTTTGACAGCTAGAGTTATTTTTTGTTTATTTATTTATTTAATTAATTAGTCTCCAAAGTTCTGTATCACTCGACACAAACTCATATTGGCAAACCACATCGATGAACTCAATAAGATGCCCATGAAGCTCACAAGGACCTGAAGTTGCGTCTGTAAGAGCTGGCTTTTAAGTTATCTCTTTACCAGATGGTTAATCCATTATTTAAAGTAATAACTTGATTTATTTTGGCATATCGTTATAACTTTGTTTTATTTTTAAAATCCTCACAATTTCAACTTGGTACAATGGTGGAAAAATTAAATTTATATATTTCGTCATCAATAGAAATATTAACATGATGCATATGTAATATCCTTTCAGTGAGTTTTTAAAAATAGTATAATCAAGTTGAAATTATCATTTTCAAAACAACATTCCAAATTGTACAATAAGGTTTTTACTCAATAGTAGTTATAACTCAACATCAAAGCCTGGCTTGGCCAAAATCAAGAAGCTATAAATAATCGTGTGCATTCCGATTAATCATTTTCCTGTGAAGTACGCAGTGACAGACTAAATTGTCTATAAGCGTGTATGCCCTTGAATTTAAATTAACTCTTAAATACATTGTTTTCTTTCTTTTGTTTGATGTACATAGGAGACGCGAAATGTCAAATCCTGCAGATCGTTTCAGTTACCTGCAGGACAGTAGTAGCGACACAGAGACCGATCACAAGGAGTCGGATGGCCGTGGAAGGCGACGCACTTACAAAAATCGATTGAGGTAAATAGCCACTTACATATTATGGATAGTTAACTTTATGATACATGGCGATGCTATATTTGGTAAGTATATAGCGGAATCGGCTCTAGCACACGAGGATATCGGCGATCCACTTCCAGGCCTCTGCTGATCATTCGGTAATGATTATTATTGATTTTGGCACGAAAATTAATAACTTTCTAACTCGTATTTTTTTTTTCTTATTAATATAATAGATATCAATGTAATGCACCGCACATATAGTAAATGAGAATAGCAAATTTTTACATTAAAATTATCTTTTTTTTTTATATATACATATATTCCCCTTTTTTGCAAGAAATTTCATCAATTAGTCTTTCTTCACATTTACTGTATTTTGTTAATGATGTCTTAATCAAAATAATCTTAATAATAATGATAATAATATGTAGTAACACAATAAACACAACATGATCAATTAAATTATATTTAAATACCACATAATGCATTATTTGAAGCAAATTATTTGTCACTTGCATTAAAAACAAACTGCTTTAACAGAATCACGTCCAAGTCTTTGATATATTTTGTAAACAAGCAAACCGCTGTTGTTGTTATCATTATTACTTTTTCTCTTTTGTTTTTGAGCCAAAATCAGTAGAAATTTTTTCACGTACACATATGTATTAGTTGAACTTTCATACCATCATTTTTATATAGCCAGTACGTTTTTTTCACCCACTTTTTATATGCATTCAATAATCAACAAGTCCTGGAATAGCTCGAGATCCCCCTTTTCCAAAGCCATGCAGCATCAAAGCAAAAAAAGGTCGAAATTTGATAATCATAGGATCAAAGTTAGCTAAGGAAATGTGATTGTTTTGCATGTAGTTGTGGTGGCTCGACCAAACCAAAATCTTGCTTGGCGCACCGGGATGGCAACAGCAAGCATCATACTCGTTCATACGAAACTTTAGCACAACACAGCAGGTAATTTGTCACTTAGAACTTTTTTATTTTTTCTCCTCACTCGTTACATTCATTTTATTTTTTTTCTCATTACTGCAATGTGATTACTCGCTAAGTGTTTGTCATATATCGCTGCTACAATTAACGTGTAAATACATATAGTATGTATGTAAAAAGTATATATATATATATATATGTGTGTGTGTATAAATAAACTTATCAAACAGACATAAATATAATAAAAGTAAAATATTGTGTATACTAAATAATGTACAATGAGAGTCCATCAACATTTAGCGAGAGATGCAACCTGTAATTCTTGTTTCTTAGGATTCGTCCAGGCATGGGATTGTCGAAGAACCAGCAGAACCAGAACCGTGAAAATGTGACATCTGGGGCAAACTCGTCGTCCGGAACGAGCCTCCATCAGCAGAGCAGCGACGAACGGATAACTCTCATCGTCGACAACACTCGGTAAAACACCGCACATATTTACTCGGGCTTGGTTCCAATCACCAACTAATGATTAACTGTATGTTGCAGCTTCGTGATGGATCCAGCACTGTTCACGGCCCATCCGAATACAATGTTGGGTCGGATGTTCAGCTCGGGCATCGAGTTTGCCCAGTCGAACGAGCGGGGCGAGTACGAGGTCGCCGAGGGTATCTCCGCGATGGTCTTCCGCGCGATCCTCGAGTATTACAAGGGTGGCGTGATCCGTTGCCCACCCACCGTCACCGTCCAGGAGCTGCGCGAAGCTTGTGACTATCTCCTCGTGCCCTTCGACGCCAACACCGTCAAATGTCAGAATCTGAGTAAGTGATTTATTCATACATGTTCGCATTTGTAATGTTCTTTGATTTATTCGGGCTTTTGGCACCTCTACCCATAAAACTGCGTAAAAAAATGGTATCAATAAACATTCTCTTCTTTTGTTTTTGAAGGAGGTTTGTTACATGAACTCTCTAACGAAGGGGCACGATGTCAATTTGAAGTATTTTTGGAAGAACTCATACTGCCTTTGATGGTGAATAGCGCTCGTAGAGGCGATCGGGAATGTCACGTCGTTGTGCTCCTCGATGAAGATCGACTCGACTGGGATGAGGAGTATCCACCCCAGATGGGCGAAGAATACTCCCAAAGTTAGTTGCTATGTGCATCTTTTTTGAGCGAGCTCAAAGATATCGTACCTCTTAAAATGAAATACGAATTTAACAAATGAAATTTTTTTAGCTGTCAATAGCACGGTGATGCATCGTTTTTTCAAGTACATCGAAAATCGCGATGTGGCCAAACAAGTGATGAAAGAGCGTGGATTGAAAAAGATCAGACTGGGGATCGAGGGCTACCCCACGTACAAAGAAAAGGTAAAAAAGCGAGCTGGTGGTCGTGCTGAGGTCATTTACAATTACGTCCAACGGCCGTTCATCCACATGTCCTGGGAGAAAGAGGAGGCCAAGAGTCGCCATGTGGACTTCCAGTGCGTCAAATCTAAATCCGTGACGAATCTCGCTGAAGCAACTGCCGATCCAATCCTCGACTCTGCTGGGAATCCCATGATTCACTTTCAAGCGCCGGAACAGCATCCACCCCCCGAGCCTTCACCGTCAGCCGACGCAGGTGGTGATTCGACTGCGAGAACTTTAGCGCATACATTGGTGATTAAATGAAAAATATGAAAAAAAAATTTCTTTTTTTTTTTTTCTTTTATCACAGATGCCGAAGCAGCGGGACTTATTCCGCCGGAGCAGGATGAACCTCAACAACAGCCCTGAGTAAAGCTTCCGCTGTTCGCACAGCAACCGAGACGACAGCACTTGAGTGGAGCACGTCGCACCGTCTCCCTAAACAACAGCAACAATAACAACGCTCTGGCCAAAAAGAAAGTAGCCTGGAAAAATAAAACTAGCACTCTACGCTGAGTTCATGACTGAGAATATTTAAATGACTGAAAAAATTTATGCGTACACTCTTTTTTATAGTGACTATTTATTTTAACGATACATGAGAGCGATTGTATTCCACTTGGAATATTTCATTATTTGAAATTTTTGGAATAATAAAATTAACTGCAGAGAAATAAGTACTGTTTTCATCAAAGAAAATGCTGTATTGTATTTCTCTAGTGCTTTCTTCAAGAATAATCGCGTTGTTCCCCTATGAAATATTCCAAACGTTGGTGTTAATTCATATTATTTTTTTCGATGTATACTTTTAATTCAAAAAATTTAAATAAGCAAGCTACCGTATTGAATATCAACGTTTTCAAATGGGCAAATATATAATATATGCACATGTGTGTAAGTCTATGTAATGTGATTTCAAAAGATCCACTCGTTCAATGTTTTTAACATAATACTATGAAATGTAGATCTTTTTATAAATTGTGTACGCGAGAAAATATGTGTTTGCCCCTGAATTTTGTACGTCAATATCAATGTAATTCTAAATAATTTAATTCCATTAATACTAGAATCAAAGATTGAAAAGTATTCTAAAAATTATAAGACAAATAATGATTGTTAAAAAAATTTTACACTACTCATTTTATACGATCAAAGATGACTCGAGTGAATGATATTTTCACAATTTCATATTACAAATGAACGCAAATGGTTGAGAAAATAATTATGAACGGTTCAGTAAATATTTGTGTATCAGCAGTAAACTATGCCGTACGACTTTCTAAACGTGGTGCTAAGACGATGAAAAAGGAAGTAGCTTCGATTTTAAAAGGGTCAGTAATACGTTGATAGAAAAAAAAACTGTACTCTTCCGTTACTTTATATGAAAAAAAATTATTTGCCGAACTGCAAATCTCTTCAAAATCTAGTTGATGATGCCGATTATAAGCATACGCATATACATGTAAAAAAAATGAAGGTTCGAATCAATTTAATTTATTTCAAATCTAACCAGTGCAAATGCCAAAGTGTTAAACAATTCCATATCATTTGTATTTTCATCGCACACAAGTGCGAACATGTTAAAAAGAGTAAAAAAACAAAAAAAAAAAAAAAAACGTATTCTGTAATTTAATGACGAGCAATAAAGTATCGTCGGATAAATAATTGATAATAAAACAAACTGAAGTCAATGAAATTGCCGGGCAAAGGAAATGTATTTGTGATTCCGTGTGAGTTTGTTGTTTACCCCGAGTAAATCTCAAGCTCACAAGTGTCACGTACCATTGCCGCAACATTTTTTACTGTCCATACCCAAAACAATTTTCGATTTAATGCAGCTCTTTTTTAAAAAACAAAAAAAAAAAAAAACAAGAAGATTCTCTTTCTCGTTGGACACAACTTGTTGTATAGGTAAACTCTTCACCAGCCAATAGCCAACCCCTGGAGTCCCGTCAGCTCATCCCCGAGGAGCGCCATGAGGGGGCACACAGCTTGTACGCATAGACCACGGGCAGTGCAAAGGAGATAGATACGCAGGCGCCGTGGGGGTGGTGGTTTCGTACGTAGGCGGTGCAAGCGTGTGCGCCGACTGCGACTGTGAATCAATAAGGCCTCCCTTGCCTAGGGGTTGGCGGTGTCCAGAGAGAGAGAGAGAGAGAGATTGAAAGCGCACACCAGTGCTCTGGGGCGTACGGCACACAGCTTCGGGAGCAGTAGTGGCAGTGCCGAGCGGCCGCGTAGTTGTACGTGCGACGACCGCGGTGACGAGGACGACGAAAAAAAAGCTGGATCCGGGAGCCGGGTGAAAGGGTCCCCAGCAGGAGGACATCGGGCTTCGGTTGTGCGTCCAGCGCCGTCGTCTTGCCAGCCATGCAGCCGCCACCGAGAAAAGTAAGTGCCCCTCTCTGTTTTGCCTCCGGATGAAATTTGTCCTCCGATGCGACGGTGGGGTAAAACAGTATAAAATACCCGGAGTGAGGGGGGGGGGTGGACGCGTCTGGCCCTACTCGGAGCCGTTCTACTGATTTCTGCGAGACGCCGCTCACGCTGCCTCTCGTTTTTTTTTTTTTGTTTTTTTTTTTCTTATCGATTCGCCAGAGCCGAGAGGATTACCTACATCGGTTCTACACGTAACGCGTGTACCAAAATCATCCTCCTCGACACTTTGTATCTCTCGTGTACTACGAGGTGCGCATCCCGCGATGTGCTGCCATACAATCATCCCCCTCGTCGCGTTCGTTTCTATGCTCCGTTGTTCACTCGCGCGTAGGCCTCCTATACTTTTCCTTCTCGGTAAATGCTTACATGTATCTATATACCTCGCACGCCACACGGTGGCCAAATTAAGTTTCGCCGCGAGTTTTTTTTTTTTTTTTTTAACATAATATCAAGTCCGTGCAACTAATACTTTGTGTGTGTGTGGCCGAGCGATTGATCTCTCGCTGGTTCTCTTCTCCGGGTATTATAAGTATACCTACGTGCGCCGCGATCCATAAACTCTCGATTCCGTGGTCGCGCGCGAGGAAACGGAGGGGGAGGAGGAAAAAAAAAATGGTGCCTCATCTCTCGGTGAAGCAGAAAATTTCTTTTTTTTTTTTTTTTTTTTTTTTGCTTTTCGCTTTTTTGCTTTTTTTCTTTTTTTTTGCTTTTCGAGTAGGTGTATACATCGAGCGCGCGGTGGCTCGGTCGGCTGGGTCGTAGATTGACACGCGGGAGACGGTGGTTCGATTCCCGGCCATAGTGCGACTTTTTCGGACAAGTACCTCTATGATTCTCACATGTGCTTTTTCACCACGCAATGCTCCTCGAGGAGGGTTTTTAGGCGACCTCCTCGCAGCAAAATTGCCTAATTTCCCCCTCCCATTCCTCTTTAAAAAAAAAAAAAGGTGTATATGCCATTCGCCTCTTGCTCCGTTGCACGTCAATTTTACGTGTATCCTAGTAGGGGATAAATAAACTCACCCTTTGATTCACTTCTGTAATTGTACAAATGGGTGGGTACAGTCTTTGAAAATCGCGACGGCGGACACTCGATGATTAAGCAATCTGAGGGTCTTTAACCAACTTTGTTTGGGGGTTGCAAACGCGCTTCCATTACATATAACAAGCGAGTCGAATCTACTTTTCTGCGGCCTTGTTGCGTCAATTATATCTCCGGTGGGGATTATCCGGTGAAATGGTGACATGCCCTCTTAGTAGAGAGGCTATTTCGAACTAAAAATTATTTCTTATCCACCCATCGCTTTGTTTTTTCTCTTTTGTGAAAAGACAACTCGCCAAAGCGTTCACCGATTCTGATTAATCGCCGGGAAGACAAAGAAAAAAAAAAAGATATGAATACGAGAGCTCGACCGCATGAATTTCTCATATTTCTCATACTTGCCAATCTTCATCTGTATACTGTAGGTACTTCCGCGCTCACGTGTCGTTCGCATATATATATTGTACCGCGTTTGCACATTTGTACCGCAGACAGCCCATGTATATATAATATAGCCTGACGCGTCGTAATTATTTTCAGGAATAAAACACACGAGACCCGATCGATATATATGCACACGCACCGTGTACCCGTTTCGATTATTGTTGATCAGCTCCGATTGAGCCTATATACCGTGATGCCCTTTGCATTTATTAATTGCTCAACGATGCATTCAAGAGTATACCTTAAATTGGGTTTCTGTTTTTTACCTTTCGTTTGACAGACACACGCCTGTATGACCCTTCACGGAAGAGATGATGGAAAGCCTACTGTCACGTATGCACGTGCGTGTAAATGCGTCGCTGGGCCAGTCGTAGTGGTTGGCCGTAAAAAATATTCCGCATCCGGACGGGGAAACAGAAGTATATTTATCAACCGTTGCCTACTTATCGCGGGCATTTTCATACGTAGGTACCTGTTTTCACACATTGCTTCATGTATATGGGGTCGTTGAGAGCTTGAGTTTAATGAATTTTTGAAACAAAGTCTCGGTGCTTTTAGCCGATGGCGAACATCACGATTCACTTAGTACTGCTTACATTGATGATAAAATTTTGGTCCAAGGAACGTGTGTGTTTTTTTTTTTTTTTTACTTCAAACATTTACACTGAAATCAGGATATTTTTAAATTTTACAGCATCAAAGGACATGCATATTTGCCGATATCTCTATTAGAAAAATTCGTCACTCTATAAGATATTTTTATCGCGCGCGCGTGAGTTGGTTCATACGGCGTGTGTGCTAATTAAACTTTGGCGCAACAAACTTTCTCCGACGGGGTAAAACCATAAATTCCGTAAGAAAAAACATTTGGCTCGGGCAATGGGGAAAATAAAAAAAAAAAAAACAACTTTTCGTTCCCACGAAGAATCGTTGGTTACACTTCACGAGACGTGACTTTTCTACGTTCTTATCTTCTTCCCCAACTCGCGATGAGCACCTTCTTACGCTTACACATGTAGACGTACCATTTTACACGCGCAGCGGTTAAAACGAACAAGGCCCCACTATATGTGTACAGTTTTGCATAAGATGACGAGCGAAAACAATATAGAGTATATAATTATTATATGTGGAAAAAAGTAATCACTTGCCCGCAAGTAGATAACGACAGGATATAGTCAGCCGTGCCTTGGTTGCACATACAGAGGTATACATGCGGTTCAATGACAAACCGTACGAACGAACAGCAGTCGTTCGTAATAATAGCTTAGTGGAAAACTTTCAGCTCGACAAACACCGCAGAACTGACGTGGTTACTATACTAATGCTAGAAAAATACGTTATACACTACTGACATCCCCCCTTTGGCTGATATTTATACCCATTTGGCTGTTCTAGTTTGCACTTTGATGTGCATCGATGACCAAAAAACACAAACTTGTAATAATCAACGGGGGACAAGTAAGAAACGCACTCTGTGTATGCGTGCAATTGTCAGGACGACGTAATCGTGGGGTCTGCAAAGTGGCAAGTGCCTGGTTATTAAAAAGAAGAGAGAGAGAGAAAAAAAAAGCTCGCTTACGCTCGTGCGATCGTGATAGGACGGTGCATTTTGCAATTAGCTTGCGTCCCTCGTGGCTTATCATATTTATGACAGGTGGGGGGGGGGGTACACATATACCCTGTTTAAACGGTAGGTCGGTGCGGGGGGGCTTGAATCTTCCCCAGAGAGCGAAGAGATGAAAAGTGCGGAGGAACCGGAGGGGAAGCCGGTAGAGAGTATCGGGGTGTATCTGCACCTGACGGAAGTTTCTCCGGGAAAGGAGCGACGACTTTTTGCGGGGCTTTGTGCTCCTCGGGATTTATCCTCGTTATCGCCTCGTAAACATCATTTTGGGGCTACCTGGGAAGCTCTCTTCTAATAACGAAATGGCCTCACATTTTCATTAGGGCGAAAAGTATGGCCACCGTGGGCATTTATTCATGTACATCCTTGTTGGTGTACAAAAATAAACTATACGTCTCAAAAAGCTTACATCCACTTGAGCTGGGCTATGTGCTCACAATCTACGAGAAATTTCTATGTAAAAGTTATAGATTATAGGTTGGAAGAATATACATTTTTTGCGTACCCTTTCTTCAAAGGGATGGTTATTTTGTTGTTGATGTTGTTTCTATTAATATATGGCAATAATCCAACGAAGGTTGTCACTGACGCTAATCAAAAAATCAAAAACAAATTAACAAACCCCACTCTTAATTACCTCAATTTGAACAACGGCGCATCGATGGCGGATTTTTTAAATTATCTTTGTTCGGAGCAAAACTACCGAGATTTAATTAAACTTGTTTACAAGTCTTCAAATGGACATTGCTGTTGGTATTCAAGTTTTAACAGGCCCGAAACTTCTGGCGAGTCAAACTTTCGAGCATCAGGTTGATTATTATCATCAGATGTATACACGAAAAAAAAAAAAAAAAAAAAAAAAAATTTTCAGTCTTCTGCAGTCCGTAAATTAAGAAGAATTGGACGATCAAAATAGCAAAAAATTTACGATTTTTCAAAGGTATGTTTTACACGTATAAGCACATACATGTACTCATTGCATCTATGTATATTATATCGAAAACGTGAAATAACAATGACACAACGGTATAACTACTCTTCAATATTTTTTTACCTTGGAGCTCTCAAAACAGCTTACGTAACTCTATCGATTGCCACTGCCATTATTGGACCCTATATTGAAAAGCCAAGTGGAGAAAAGCGAGCACCCACGCCAGGTAAATCGAAAGGTCTGGACAACAAAGTCGGCACATGGCGATATTATTTCGTCGCCTGTCGCGATTGCGTAACCGTAGCGCGAGTACGTATATTACGGAGCCCCCATATGTATAGGAGTTGCGTAAAACGGAGTCGTCCGATTGTCTGGCTGCTCCGCGCGTGTGCTTTTCCCGTTTTCAGACTTTGCACCCGTCTTGCATTGCATCGCCTCGGCGCTTGAATTGCATTATACATTGTTCGGCTCTGCCGGCTCCCCTCCTTTCTTCTCCGTATACATCCAACTTCGCTCCCCACGCCCCTCGAAAAGTTTCCAGGATGCAACTACAGAATCCCACACGTATACATTTACATCCGAGTAGCCAATCCGATGTCGGTGCCCGTTGATTTTGCAGTTCATCATACAAATGCGCGTCGAAAAATGATCGTTGGTGTACACCTTGACCATAAAGACGATCCGCTTTTTCCGAATAGACATATTCCGGAGGAACGTCATCGGTCTAACTCCGCGAGTAAATGACGCGAGTAAATCTAATCTATGCCACCCTCGACTTCTACTTTCCGCCCCTGTATACGTATATACTTGGTCTTTTTTTTTTCTTTACCCCGTTCTTCTCGGCTTGATGTACCAACTTCTCACCCGCCCTCCGTATACATATGTATACATATATATATACTCGTCGAGTCTCTCTCTCTCTGCCTCTGTTGCGTTTAGCCTGTTCCTCCTCTCGTTTTTCAGACCCTCCCCTGCCGCTACTCGCTTATCATCCACGTCAATCCCAGTCCAAAGTGGGCGAAGGGTTGGGAGTTGGCGCGAAAGCTTTGTCGCTTTCAAATTGTGCGTAACTGCGCGACAATAGTTCGCTCGGATTGGCGAAATTAATGAAAATTTCGGGCTGGAGAGAGTAGGTGCGCGCGAGCTCCTCCGAGAGGGAGTCGACTAATCGTGACAAATATACTGATTTCAGATTTATTTGACGAATAAGAAATTACTGTCTCCCTCGAAACTTTCTCGACGCTCGGTTGATTGAACGTCTCGCTGGATTGTGCATGTAGATAAAAAAAAAAAAAAAAAATCACGTTTTGTCGTTTAGTTTGAAAATAATGGTCGTTTTGGGCGAACGATGAGAGTCTCGATGTATCTTCGAGTTACATACAAAGCGTAAGTTTCGAGAGGGGGTGAAATGCGCGAATGGCAAATTGAAATTCATCGAACTGATTAAATCCATCGGGGGTAAAATGTCCCTTACCACGCCGCAGAAGCGGAAGAAGAAAGGGAGCATCAGCGGACAACAGGAGGAGGAGAGGGGACCGGTTGATGGTCCTTTGCACTTTCACGAGGCCAGGGATGAACGGCTGATGGCAAAGTTCGCGTGGATAGCTGGTAAGGGTGGCAGATCTGGAAAAGACGCGCCAGAGAGAGAGAAAAAGGGGGCATTAGAGCGTTGGCTTCGAGGGGACGGAGAAGAAGAGGGAGGAAAGGAAATTGGATGATATTTCCCGCAACGATCAAATCTTATTGCCAATTGAAAGAGGAAAGTTCGCGGTACATTTGCGCGGAGAAATCACCCGGGTTGCGCCGACCACGCGCGCGCGGTAAAGAAGGCGAGGGTATAAGCACGAGGGGCGAAAATTGCCCCTCGAAAACTTGCTGCCTCGCGGTCTTCGACACCACACTACGTGTATACCTACGCTCCGAGAGAAAATCGAGCAGCCGCGCTCGATAACGAGTTTTCCGGAATCTACAGCGCCCGGAAAATTTCTTTCGGGGTGAAAAAAAGGGCCCGCACAATAGCTTGCTTGCCGAACAATACCAATGCAGCGGCGATAATTCCGTACCTTGTATACACACAGAGTCGTAACGATCTCGAGGTCCAGATCTCGTTTGTCGATTTCCTTCCCATCCCCCCCGCACGCGATGTAATCAGCTTGGGGGAGAGGGTATTTTGCCAAAAGCCATCAGAGTGGATTTCCGATAATGGCCTCGTCATAACTCCCGTATCAAGATCCGCGCAAAAACTAATGGCACGAGGCGGTGATATGATATGCTTCTTCTGTCGTCACGCGTATAGGCGTATATACAAGGGGATGTAATGAGCGCGAAGCGTCAGCGGCGTCTAATGTCGAAAATTATAGCATATTGCCAATAAAATCCAATGGCCCCGGCCTCCCCCTTGCTCCACTGGGAGCTCCTTGATCCGGACAAACTTGTACACTTGACCCACGCTCTGAGATTCGAGCTTTTACCGTAGTACATATACGAGGAAGGGGGGCAGGGTCTTAGGGTGTAATTGTAACGAACGATACTGCGACTTGCCATTATGGGGCGTCTCGGAAGGAATCGATTGCGGGCAGGGAGGCTGCTACTGTGCGCCAAAAGTATTGACAATCGATAGTTGGGTTATCTTCTCGGGGTCACAGCTATATAGTTCTTTTACTCTTCGGGCTTTGCGCGTTTTTGATGTTAAAGTTACATGTGCGTCAATTAATCAACCCCTGGATGTATGTAGATAATATCAAAAAAAGTTAATTTTTTTATTTATTTATACAACCCTGTACGGGCAAATGTCATCTCCAAATTCCAACNTAGTTGTGTGTATCAGCTGCCCATAGTGCCCCCGCTTCAAATTCTCCAATGTATATTTATGTGCACACACGCGCACACATACACAGAGGTATCTTACTCTCGCTTGTTCTGTTTTCTCGAGTTTCTCATTGCAAGCAAATACTTATACAAGAGTAGCAAAACGCGCGGGGGTGGGTGGTACACAGGGTAACAGAGAGAACGGGTGGTACGTGGTGGGGCTGTATACGTGTAGAGGCTCGGGAGAGAAATCGATCGACGCTGTTGACCGAACCGCTATACTGTGACTACCTGCACCACCACCTACTATTAGTCCTTTCGTATATGTATAACAGGCACTACACTGCTTATTACACAATACATGTATAGGTGTATAGGTATAAGGTAATATGCTGCCATGCGCGCACCAGCGATAATGCGTCGCCCTTCCCGCACAGCTTTTTCGACCCTCCTCCTCCTCCACACATCAGCGCTATGCGAAGGTACCGGTGTGCATACATATACATATAGGTGCAAGTCTCTGATGTACGTGTGTGGGCGCGATTATGAAATGACCCCGGTAATTGGATGCGCCGACCCGATATGCGTCCACAGACACCAGATTCAATTTTCCTCCTCCTTCCCCCGCCCTTAGCTTTATGCATGTTACCTTGATCTTTTTTTCCTCTAAAACCGCGTTATAATATATACCTACTTCGGGATGAACAGGTCCATTGATGTTCTCGCAGATATAAGGTGCATGGGGTAAATCATACGGTTTGATCAAATTCATCGGGTGAATTTTATTTTTGATACATTAACGATCGAGCAAGCAACGTTTTTCGGTAAGTACCGCAACTTATAGGCGCAGTTGGCACTTTTTGGCCGATTTCTTTTCAAATATTTCGTAAAAGCGTTAACAATGATGAATCGGTGATTAAATTGAGCGTAAACGTATAATCAAATCAATAGGCTAATCAAAATTTATGTTTTTACTTTAAATGGCGATGGAAGAAAGTTACATATAGTTGTATATAATTGTTCCCGGCACCCCTCGAGAAACAAACTGTGTGTGACGTATAGTTTTACGGCCGAGGCTTCGAAACTTTTAGAATTCCTTTGGACGCTTCCTATAAAAGTTGCGAGCACATTTATTATGAATTTAAGTCGAGTCTTTGCGTATATAGGTATTTTGTATTCACTTGTGGATAACGAACTCGATAGCAAACGAAAAATTTATATGTATAAAAAAAAAAAAAAAAAAAAAAAGTATCAGGGGCACTGAACGTACGATAATTTTGGAGATGCTTAGTACAGCCTGCGTCTCGACAATACTCGATTGACGAAAAAAAGACAAGTTTTTTCTAGCTTACTTATGTTGCCCAAATTCGTTCAAGATCTTGTCCCCGACGGAGAAATCACTTTCAAAGCTCTTGATAAGGTAAACGATGTCCTCTATTCCCGATGAATTTTGATCCCAAATTTATCATTGCATACGGCTACATGAGGTTAGGCGATAATATTATATGTATACACACACGAGACACAACACACACAAGAATTACAAAATCAACAGAGTGGCGTTGATTAATATAGTAATCTATCAAGTTTTTGTTTCTATAATCGGTTGGAAGAAAACAATGTAAGAAAAACACTTTGCGGGGATCGAATCGAGCAATCTAGTATAGGTAAATAATGCACTTCGCGTATACTGTTATAACCTATAAAATCCTATGGAAACACAAAGCAGCGACTAATCGATGAAAAATTGATTATGCGAAACGAATGATCGAATACGTACTTGTCTGATTACAGGGGAATTACGCGAAATTCCTGAAGAACGTGCACTCGGAGCAGGCGGCTAAGCTGCTCCTGAAGAATCAGCACGAGTGCGACATTCTCGAAGACATCCGGTGAGCTTTTTTCTTTTTTCATAGCTTTTACACCTGTATGGACATCAGCGCCACTGCTGCACTTGTCTTTAGCGAAAGTATGAATGAATATGAAAACGCTCGATCATTTTATTACGCGTTTGATGCTTTTATGTGCTCCACTGAGTGCGCAATACAATGGGTGCTTGTTTCTAGCGAGGATTTAATTATTTAGCTCTTTAAATTAATACCATTGAATTGAAGATGTTTCGTTATTTGTTGTGATTTTGCTTGCTTTTAGTACATTCCTGGTCAAAAGGTCGGCGATCGAAAAGTCGTACGCAGATGTGAGTGCATGCATATAATATACTTATTACGTAAGCCAAATATTAGGAAAAGTAAAGCGTATAACGATTAAAAATCAATGTCAAACAGGCGCTGTTGAAAATCTCGTCGGCGTACTTGAACAAGAAGATTCTCAACATTCCCGACCTCAAGGTCGACAACGTCGAAAGATGGCGAGTATCGGAAAAACAATTTTTAACTAAAAATGCACGAGCAAAGTGATGTAGGTTATTTTAAAATTTGTTATCCACAGGAACATGTGGAACGTTTGGAGGACGGTTCTCGAGGAGAACGAAAAGATAGCGAACGCACGGCTCGCGGCTGTCGAAGTTTTCCAGACGAGAATAGCCGACGAAATCAAGGTCCTCAAAATGCATAAGGTTCAGATCGCGAAAAAGGTGTGCTTTTGTTTTTACACTATGGGTATACAATTTTCCAACGAAAATTAAAAACAAAACAAAACGTCTTTGTGCGTCTGCATACAGGCAGTCGACCAACTGATGACAGTACAAAAGGAGCTGCAGACGTGCGTACAGGACGTCGATAAGACGAAGAAGCTGTACTTTGACGAGGAGCACAGCGCCCACGACGTGCGCGACAAGGCAAAGGACATTGAAGAAAAGTACGTGCATGCGCGCGTCCTCCTCCCTTTCTTATCTGCCCCCTCGCCCTATACTATATATTTTCCACTCCCCTCCATCCTTGAAACTCGTGACTTGGCTATTTGAGGATACCTAGGCTGAAAGTGCTTTTCAAACAGAAAAACAAGACGTTGAATTTTTTTTTTTTTTTTTTTTTTTTTTTATCGGTCATGGTTGTCACGCTAAATAGAATAATTTACAGGAGTAACTTTGATGAAATTACTGAGACTCTTCGTTTTAATTATTTTCTCTCTCCAATTACAGATTGAAAAAGAAGAAAGGCTCTTTCTTCCAATCGATAACGTCCTTGCAAAAGAACAGCGCAAAGGTATGCCGTGTAAATTGCGTTTCGCTGATTATAATTCTAACAAGAAATTATTATTTCCTCTTTTTTTTTTTTTTTCAACAAAGGTGAGCTCGAAACGAGATCAACTGGAGGAAAAGTCGACGGGAGCGCGCAACGATTACTTGCTCGCGTTAGCCGCAGCCAATGCTCATCAGATCCGATATTTTTCCATAGATCTGCAAACAGCGATGCAAGTGAGTTGAAAAGAGAAGAAAAGCCTCCGAATCACAATTCACAGTGGGCCCAGTGCACATGCATTTTAATTAATATGACAAACTTTGTCTCTCAGACCATGGAGCAAGGGGTTTTCGACAAGATAGCCGACTACCTATCGATCATGGCACGGACGGAACTGTTGACCTGCGCGGCCATCAATAACAGCTTCACGACGGTCAACAACCAAGTCTCACAGGTAACTCTCCGATTCCCAACACTTAAATATTTTTTTGCTCGAGCCACTGATGAACACAGAAATCTATAAATCACCCCTAGTTAGTCAGACAAAATTATTGGTATACCCTTAAAGACACTCAGGGCGCAACAGAGCGTCTTCTTTTGCGGCTCCCGACCAATTATCAAGAATATGCATATACCATTGTATTTATTGCACGATTAGCTAGCTCCAACGCATAAATCGCACGTCCTTGTCTCTGTTGCAGCTAACGAGGGAGTACAACTTGCAGTGCCTCTACCTGTACTTTCCCGTGTTGAAGCAGCACATACAGTACGACTTTGAGCCCTGCGACAACGATCAAGTGGAAAGGTAAGGGGAACCTTTGTTTATCGCTCGAACGAAAGAACACCCTCCTCAAATTACTTTTGTTTGCATCGGACAATCAAGGATAACGGTGGACAACGCGGCTGCGCAGACATTGACCAAAGAGGCCCGTCGCTGGGCCACGAAAATCGCCCGCGAGATCAACACGTACAACGAGAGCAAGAGAAAACTCAAGGCTTACCAGCAGATGCGCGAGTCCGGCCAGAAGGTAATGTGGTTTAATCTTGGGATAAAAAGATGGAGTACTCATGTGACATTTTTTGGTTTGATTTCGCAGACCGATCCCAATGATCCCAATGGCCCGGACTTGGAAACAAAGATGGAAGAGATGAGACAGGCGATGCGAAAGGCCGAGGTAATGACATTCATCCGTACAATTATCGCCTCAAGATCTAATCGCGTTAACTTTATCTTTCAGACCGCAAAGATGAAGGCCGAGGCGCGCATAGAATGCCTGCGGAAGGGCGGAGGTTCGTATCACTTACGTAATTGCTTACAGTCTTGATTTATCATCTACACTTTTAATAAAACTTATCTCTCGAAAACAGTCAATGTCGAGGAATTCTTGCAAGAAGTGGATACGTTGAGCGTTTCCGAGATGCCTCGGTCCGCCAGCTCACTGTCCTTGAAAACAGATGCCTCCGGCAACGTGGTAATTGAGCATTTTTTATAATGCCCATTTTCATTCAGAAGGCAGCTTAAAATGCATTGAATTTTCCAATAATGCGGCAGGAGCAGCCGTCGTCGGACTCGTTCTACGACAGCGACAACGACGCGGGTAGCGATCTGACCACGGTAGAGAGGCCCGGACGAGCTTCCGCGGCCGGCCACCACGACGAGGACTCGGGAGCCGAGGAGCGCCAGAGAAACGACAGTGCCGAGGTCGACGGTGAGTTGCTTCGCTGCACCCAATACTATTTTTCCCCCTGACAGATACTCAATACCACGTGATTTCCCCTTTGTTTTTCAATTATTGAGTGTACTACGAACTTTGCGTTTCTCTTCAAATTGATGTCTGATTAATTGCCTCTATTTTCTTTTGTTTCTCAATCTTCCCCCTTTTCAATCGAAGGTACAGCGTACGATGATCCAGGTAGTTATTACAATACTGTACTTTTATGAATGTAACGGCTAGAATGTGGGTGTGTACTCGTCACATAGTACAGCAAAGCCCTGCCTCTCATGATTCACATCATACATACCAATATGTACTTAGCGATATAAACTTATACGCTCTTTCTCCCCCCCCCCTCCATAAAACAAAAGCTCCATCTCATCATGTCGTTGCATACTATGCATCTATGTGTCGAGAACAAGACTCGCTAGGATATTACGCATACGCTGTAATGTATATAAGATCATCGCCATGAAATACCTGTATAAAGATGAGCTCGGCGTAAAAAAATATTAATGTGTGCTGTCACGTAACGTGCACCCTCTCCCCTCGGCCCCTCGCTCGTAGTCCAGTGATATTTCTAAAATCGATTCGTGCCAGCCTCGATGCGAATATGGTAGACGTAGCATTGGAGAGGGTACGGTATTTGATATAAAAGCATGTAACGACGCGCGCGTTGCAGCTCTACTGGAGGCGGAGAAACAGAAAATAGACGAGATAACGGCCGGCTGGGACGACCCGACCACGGCAGACTGGGGCAACGACGAGACCGCCGACGAGGTGACCACCAGCAACGAGATTCGCGCCACCACGGGCGTAGCTCCCATCGAGAACATCTACAAGTGCACGGCCCTCTACTCGTACACCGTAAGTGCACCTATAAGATCATCATTAAATAGCCAAAAGTTGCTCGAGCGTCTTGTTTGGTCGTATAGGCCCAAAACCCGGACGAGCTGTCGATAGTGGAGAGCGAGCAGCTCGAGGTTGTGGGCGAGGGAGACGGCGACGGGTGGCTGAGGGCGCGCAACTACCGGGGCGAGGAGGGCTTTGTGCCCCAGAACTACCTCGACATCGAACAGGAGGCCGAGCCCCAGCAGAGCGGCCTCGTCTCCCAGAGCCCCGGCATCGTCCAGCAGATATCCTTCTCCTCGGTCGATTACACGGTCGACGATCACGACGCCGTTGACCCCGACGCCCACCTACACCAGCAGCAGCAGGAGCAAGAACAGCTGGAACAGGCGCAAAAGGAGGTGCCCACCCACCGGGAGGCAACGGTATGCGTTTCATTATCACTTGGGTTTTATACTTGTCAGTTATGACGTCAATCTTACTTGTGCATGGATTTTCCATCATCAGGTGGTGGTGGAGTCAGCGGTCTCGCCGGTCCCCCCGGTCGCACCGCAGAGTAATCACGTGGACGACGGGCGCGAGTACTGCATCGCTATGTACGACTACGAGGCTACCTGCGAGGAGGAGTTGAGCTTCATGGAGGGCGACGTGATCGTGGTGCTGAAGAAGGAACCCCACGACGTCGACGACGGCTGGTGGGAGGGAGAGTTCGAGGGCCAGAAGGGTCTCTTCCCCTCGCTCGTCGTCGAGCCTTGCGCGCCCGACGGCACCATCCTCTCCGATGTCGAGGTACTATACTATATTTTTTTTTTTTATTGGCTCTGACAAAAGAGTAAGGGACTTTTGACTGAAAATTCAGTAGTAACAGTCAAGCTTGGTCGGGCAGTGTATTCACTGAATTTTTTTATCTAACATATACGTATTTAAAAAAAGAAGAAGAAAAAAGACTCGATAAGATGTAGTAAAAAAACAGCCAAGGTCACGGGAGTTGATCGCTCAATCGATCTCGAAGCGACGAAGCCCGACAAGTTTTCAAGTTTCAGCAAATTTATTTATTCTCATCAAGCATGTTGTAGCAAAAGACCGATGGGTATAATTTAATTTGACAGGACGACGTAACGCCGCCCAGCACCTCGGCACCGCCTGTATTCACACCACCTGACGCTCCAGAGTTCGTTTTGAACGAGGAACTCGCCAAGTCGCTCATGAACGGTACGAGCTGACTATCGTGATATAAATATCCAATTGTTGTTAAGTAATTGCTAGGGGGAAAAAAAGAATTTAACGATGACTGTGTTAACGCTTGCAGAGATGAGAGAACGTGGCTTCGTAAACGGCGATCGACCAGACAGTTTCGACATGAATTTAACAAAGGGCCAGAAAAATCAGTACGGCCTGCAGTTTGACAGCGAGAAGGATACACCGCAGGCTCCGGGGATCATAAGTGAGTTTTTTTTCTTCTTCAGTTCATAATGCGTAGCGAGTGGTACGTTTATTTGTTTTTTGCTGATTCAATCGACTTGTTTGCAGTTGACGAAGCTCCAGACGAAAGCAGTGACAAGGAGGTACGTAACACGATAATCGCTTTCGCTCATCTCTTATGTATACTTGTTTCTCTTGAAAGAGTCATTACTTTATTGTGTATTATATACTTACTTCTGAGTTCAAATGCCGCGACGGGTTTTTATTTTTCAGTAGAAAATGCACACGATTCTTCTTTCGTTTGAATTTAGTTCAACTTATCGAAAGAAAATTTTGATTTTACTGTATTTATCATTGTATGATTTCGTCTGGTATTGATGGCAGGCTGATGGTTTAGTTTAATCACAAATGAAATGATTGTCAATAAAAATTTTTAATTTTTAAATCCGTTCTCAGGAATAGTTAACGTGGGTATGTACGTCTTACGTATTAAAAGTTATTGCATGAATTTTATTACAAAACCTACAAAAAATTGATTTTTTTTCTTTCTATTTTTACATTTTTAAATA